TGATGACGTCACCATGCCCTATGCATGTTGGAGCTATTTTTTACAATTTGGGGGTCAAAAATCAAGATAGAAAGTTGAAATTTGGGACATCTAATGTTCTAATAGAGCTCTATAACATATATTCCGGTTTTTTGGAAATTCTCAAAATTTTGGATTTTATGAGCTGTTTTCCAAAAAATATAGTTTTTTGAATTTTTAGGGGTGAAAAACGCATTTTATGGAAAATCCGAGATAGCCATTTTAAAGAACTCGTTGAGCTGCATCTATTCATGTCCTTAATTTGCAATTTGCTTTAAACCCTGATTTTTGGCGATTTTTTAAACATTTACCACTTTTTGACTGAAAACGCCATGTAGTTACATCACTAAAATCGATATATCTCAAAATTTTTTGGATATTTTTTTCTTCAAAATTGCACAGGAGACGTCAAATTGATGGGGGAGAAGGTATGCCAAGTTTCAAGTCGATAGCGTAAGTGGTTCATAAGTTATTCAAGAAAAACGGAGGGGGGGTCGGATCCGACCCCCCCCCCCCCCAGGCGGTCGCGGGTTAATTGAAGGTGTTCCGCCGCTACTGCTATAGGCGGTAAAGATGTTGCGCTGTGACCAAATGAGACAGGCGGTTAACTATAAATGGACATCAACTAATATTCTTATCAAGTGTGTCAAACTAAAAAGTGTCCTTCCATGAATTTGTTTTATTATGTCCGTTCGTTTAACAAAAGAAGAAGGAGTAAAAGGATAGGAGAAGCAAATTCCCTTTCAAAAGTATTCAAATTGTTTGATTGCAGCCGATTTAACATGTAATATACAATTCGCGATATAATTGATACCTTTCCTGACTGAACCGAACGACAGAGTATTTATTGTGTCAGGTCAGGCATACCTGGCCCCGTATTCTCATCATTTTCGTTAGAATGCTGGAACAGGTAAGTGTTCGGCGGTCGTTACACCGAGAAAAAGTGAGAACACCTAACCTTCTCTAAGACCCGTAGCCCTTCACATTTTCCCTATTCAAATCAGACCACACGTTTTGCAGTCCTTTTCTCAGTTTAACTGTGACAGAAGTGGACAGAGACATAAGGGCGCGAGACGGTCAGGAGGGCGCTGATAGACCATGACATGGGCGCAGTGCTGTCAAAAGGCGCCATTCTCCCAGAAGGGCGTCAGGTGATTAAATACAAAATTACACCCCTGACTGTTGACAATGTATAAGGTATGTAGGATGGGTGCTTTTTTTTAGAGCGATCGTGAACGAAATGCACTTCTGAGCGTTGAGAGAAAGACACCAATCGGTGGACCATTTGCAAATGTTGATGAGGTCGGTTTGAAGAAGGCCGCAATCTGCAGCAGGAGATGAAATTCGCCGGCAGATTTTGACGTCGTCCGCATACATCACGCACATGGACGAAGTCACAGCCGTCGGCAAATCAATGATGAATAGACAAAAAGCAGAGGGGCCAGAAGAGCCCCCTCCGGAACTCCAGATTTTACTTTAGCCCACTCAGAAGTTTTTCCATTCCCGACCACTCTCTGCTCTCTCTCCGACAGGTACGAGGCGAACCAATCAAACATTTTGCCGCTATAATACAGTAAGATTCTGACAGTTTGAACACGAGTAATTTATGGTTTACGCTTTGGAAAGCCGCAGATAAATCCGTGTATATTGCGTCCGTCTGGCTCCCGACGGAGATCGAGCCCCAGACAGTGTGAAGGTAGGTGGTAAATTTATGTTTGTATATTGTATACCTAAGGCAGCTCCAATGATTGTACCAACAAGCAATGTTGTTAACCCTCGCCCATGTAGGGGGGGGGGTTGGTGCAACCCCCCCCCCCTGAGGCTTTTCGGAAATAGTGCAAAAACGGCGGCGCGCAGCGCCGCCAAATTTTGGGTACCTTATGGGGCAAACCTTGCGCATCTTTTGATAGAAAAAAATTTGACCGGGTCATGTCAGGTCACGGAGTTATGACGTCACAAAGGGAACAGCCTCCGGCCGGATTTTCACAAACTGAGTGCCAACGCCCGAGGTTTCCTGCCGGTGGTACGGACATCGGTTGATGGATCGTGATGAAACTTCCCATGCATGTTGGGGCAAGTATTGGCTATCATATGGTATAAGAAACTTGACCGGGTCAGGTCAGGTCACGGAGCTATGACGTCACAAGAGGAACAGCGTCCGGTACTAGTTTTGAAAAGCGCCCGAACCACTATTTTGCTAATTCTTGTCACCTCAATGGGAATATGCAGCAATATTAGCTTCTATAGGGAGCAAATGGACCTCCCAAATCCAAAAATACAATCAGATTTCAAAAATTTAAATTTTGATTTTTCGAATTTCTGTCGCCGACTGTGACCTTGCCGACTTCCGGCGCTCCCAACGCGCCATTTTTAGAGCTAGGGAAACGAAATACATACCAAACGATAGAGAATTGATCAAGGAACACGATAGTGAAGGTTTCAAGTCGATATCTCCCACCGTTTTGCCGCAATCGCCGCCGAAAGTTGAAAAAAGTCTATTTTTTCGAAAATTTGACCTTTGACCGGTCAAAAGTAGGTCAAATGTTGACCTAGGACCCAAAAATATACCACCAATCGCGAGATCTCGGCGAGAGCAATCCGTTGGTCTTTTTCGCTAAGCTCTACGACGCTCCGTTTTCAAACGCCAAGGGGGGGTCGCACCAACCCCCGCCCCCTGCATGGGCGAAGGTGGCAGTTCGCCGTTTACGGGCGAGGGTTAATAAAATTCAGCGAACGTCAACTGTTGTTATTCAATGTTTATTACATGAGAAAAGCTGTAAGGTTACAATGTAATGTACTATAAAGTTACAATTTTCCAATGATTGCATCTATTTATTTGTATCCAATGATGATAATCTATTTCTCTCTCTCTCTCTCTCTCTCTCTCTCTCTCTCTCTCTCTCTCTCTCTCTCTCTCTCTCTCTCTCTCTCTCTCTCTCTCTCTCTCTCTCTCTCTCTCTCTCTCTCTCTCTCTCTCTCTCTCTCTCTCTCTCTCTCTCTCTCTCTCTCTCTCTCTCTCTCTCTCTCTCTCTCTCTCTCTCTCTCTCTCTCTCTCTCTCTCTCTCTCTCTCTCTCTCTCTCTCTCTCTCTCTCTACTTCAAAAGACGCCTTATATGGTGAAAAACATGAGACATCGACAGGATACCCGTCAGGCTCCATTTTTAGCGATGATCTGTACCGCCACGTCCACCACAGGAAGGGTGACCTAAACTGCAGCTGGCTGGCCAGGAGGGCCGTCAGATAGGCAGGCTGGCACCGCCGTCTCCCCTAGCCGCAGGCAGGATGGTGCGGTTGGCATGGCGTCGGTTAGGAAAGGGGGGTCTGGGGACGGGGCAGCAATCTGGAAAATACAGTCCAAGATGGAGCTGACGCGACTTGCCCGGGTCGGGTCACATGTAAATAATCATCTATGGGTCCAGGTCATGTCATGAGGATTCGGGAACTTGAAACAGGTCCGGTTCGAGCAAATGTAACACTTTTCCTGTTCGTTTCAGATGATTTCTTGGCAACATTCTTTGCGTGTTTACATAATTGGGAAACGACGCGACCAGTGACGAAAAACTCTACAGAGCGTACGAAATAACAGACATAACATCTCAAAATTGGACTTTTGGTGACCTTCATTGACCTGAGTACCACCAGTGACATCATCCCCCGGGGCCCAGCTGACCGTGGCTGCAGCGGTCCTCTCCTCTCTGACCATCACCTCAGACCACCAGAGGATTGGTAGAGAACAGAACAGAGTGTATCAACAGACACTGACTCTAGTTCAGTTTAGTGAGATCGGTTAGTCCCCGTCACGAGACAGCCAATCTCGATACATAGCCGTTCATCCCAGATAAGCCCGTGTCTCTATGCACATCACGAAACAGGTTTGTGACGCCTCCTTACCATTTACTAATTACGCAATAATGTACGGGTCTCACCGTCCGACACTCTGAAGAGCGGCGAGTAATGCGGCCCCTTGAAACCGGCTGTCCAGCTATCGTCCGTCAGGTCGCAGCTAGTGAATGAAACTCGTCTGGAATTCTACTCTCGGCCACATCCGGCCGCTAGAAGTATCCAATGCAGAATAAAGGCCACCTCTGTGACTTACGGAGGGTGGGAAATCGCATAAAGCAGACGTTTTTAGGAAGATAAAATTAAAAATCAGCAACAAACTCCGTCAATGTGAGTTTAGTCCGCTCATTGGTATCAAGCACGGTTTGCTTCATTTGAGTTATTCACCATTTTTCATGGTGCACACCCTAATTTAGGACTTGCAGACCGGAGGTGCTCCCGGCAACAATCGGTGACGTCACGCACCATTGCCGCCCGACACGAGGTGCGGCTGCAGCCACGCGCTGCCGAGAACCCACACAGAACCCGGTCTGCGGCGCCTTTGTTACAGCTCGCTGTACGGGAATGGGACGGACTGCCGTTGGACGTTTGACGGCACCAGCTCAAAATACATCTCATTGGAGGTCAATCAGTGTACCTAACAATTGGCTGAAGAGGCAAATTGTGTCATTATACTGCCGCGTCCCGTAAGAGGGCCGAAACGGCCCCGCTAGCTCCCTAAGCATTACAGATATTGTCACCAAACTTCAAGGACCCGTTAGGGAATCAGGCATTATTTTCAAACATTGTGGCCAATTTGTTCATGCAGATTTCCAGTTTGTTTGCCACAGTATAATGTAGGGTCTAAATGCACTCCAATCCAAGTTTGATTTTGATGTCTAGACTTGTTGAAAATGTTCTTATTTCCATAAACATACGTTTTAAATCCTGATTCAGCCGAATTTCCCAGTGCAGGGTCAACACAACGGCACGCTAATTTATACCGCACTACATCTATCTACCATAGTGCTACTCCTGATTTCGCTGCCCTGCAGCGCGCCAGTCGCTGCCACTGGACGGACACGGCCACAGAGCGCTCCGTCTTATCTGTGTTCCTGTCGGGGTCGGTATATATCTACAGCGGCGTCGGCCGACCTCAGTCAGTCCGGGAGAGTCGGAGCAGCCAGCAGCCATGTCACGACCACAGACATATTGTGTGAGAAGAGCCGAGTGGATAAGGAATATGTATAGAGGTATTAACTGGCAAGTGAGAACGATTGTGGAGAAGTACGGATCGAGTGCATATTTGATACCGGACACTCTGCTACTGGCACTGGACCTTGTGGACAACCACTCCGCTGGGGATCAGGCGTACTGTGCCGCGTCTGAGGTAAGATACACTGTCGCCAGGCTGGTAGGAGAACCGCTCATGGCAGCTCTGCAGGATCTCAATGATTCCTCCGCCGCCCGGTGTCGGTACTGCCAACCCGACCAGCCCCCCAGGGCAGGGGCGGATCCAGAAAATCTCCAAGGGAGGGGCCATTACAAACGAGGAGGCCCCCCATAATCCACCTGTTGGAGGCCCCATCTTCCCACTTGTTGGGCCCCCCCCCCCCAAAAAAAAACTGCGTCTATTGAGCTTATCTAGCTGTTCAGGCAACATCTCAACATCTGTGCAGGCTTGGAGGCCCTCTGTGCAGGTTAGGAGGCCCTGTAAAAGTGGTCATCTCTGTGAGTATAAGAGACCTCCAAGTTATGAAAAGCTTTACCAATCTTCTAACAAAGAAGTCTTCTCAGCTAGTCTTCTAAGAAATAACTAAGTGGGTAGGTTAAAAAAAAAACTCATCGGATTTCGGCCACTTTATTTTCAGGAGGCCCCCTTTTCAGCTTTTTAACTTTTTAACTTTTTATTTTATTTTTGAAAAAAATCGGCCAAGGGGGGGGCCATGGCCCCCATGCCCCCCCCCCCCTTGTATCCGCGCCTGCCCCAGGGTAACCTCCATCAACGGATCGGGCAGCAGTGTCGAGGGTCTGTCGGACGGTAGAGTCGGCCAAGGGGGGACGTCAGATTTTGATCTGATGTTCGAGTTCAACGGTCCCTTCCGCTGGGCGGCGCCCGGAAAGAGAGAGGAGCCGGCCGTTGTTATTCCACAGTCTGCCCCTCAGCTGTGGGCCCGACCGACCAAAAACCCAGGCTTCGTGACGCTGCACTGGGTCAAGACGACGAAGTGCTGCCACGAGAAGGCACTGGAGGCACTGCCGGCACACTCCATGCGCAATCTCATGCTGAACTTTTCTCGGGGCATGAGAGAAGGAGAAATCACCACCGCCGGACCGGCGGTCAATGTCAGGTCATCACATGATATTTCAGACGGCGGTGTTGACTTCGTGCCCTGTATCCATGTGCGTGGGTGGTGGCCGGCAGAAGACCAGCTCGACGGATGTCACCTGGAGCATGATTTTCCACCAGCGGCGGCACGGGACGATATCCGTCGCTTCGGAGTGCATCTCGTGCCGACCGGCAGGCCTGGCAGTGACACCGAGTCTATCGAGTTTCGGATTTCCTACTCACGGGCGGAGCTGGTCACCGTTCACCACCTCACTTCAGTCATACGAACGGCTATCATGGCGTTAAAAGCGATTAAAAATATGTTGAAAAAGAACGAGGTGATGAGCGATGAGGTGAAATTAAAGTCTTATTTTATAAAGACGGCGGGTCTCTGGTTGGCCCAAACCACGCCCCCTCGAATGTGGAAAGGCATCACTGACGGTGTCCACAAAATTCTTGTTTGCTTGGAGGAAAACTTAACCACCGGAAGACTACCTTGCTTTTTCGATCACAACATTGATGTGGCGGCTGAACTCAGCGCAAAGGAGCGACAGGATATCATCGACACCATACGGTTCATTAGGGAGCATGCCACGCTCCTTCTGATGGCAGTCTGTGAGGATCGGTGGGACGTGGATCTGCTGCTGGAGGGCGGGACGGAGCCGCTCTCAGAGCGTGAGCTGCGGCTCCGCCTCGGACAGACGCTGGTCCGGGAGGCTGTACTGGACGGTGTGTATAACCGCCCCACGGCTCCGTGGCGGGAGATCTGGTGGAAGATGGCCATCCCTCCGCTGGTCCGCACGGCCCCACTACTACTACAGTGGTGGCACTACTGCTACTCAGGAACACACAGCCAGCAGTGTTACCTGTTTATGGCGTGGGCTGTGGTCGACCCGGCGGACCTGGTAGGCGGGACAGTGATGACGTCACCAGTCAGTGACATTGTCACGCTGGACGTGACCCCCCTGATACAACTCCTCACCAGGTCTGACCTGGAGTTCCTGCTGGGTGACCCGGACAGGGTGGCCACCTGGTGTAGTCAGCAGCTGCGGCGGCCGCTGGAGGAGCGGCCGGCCGGACTGACCGCCGAGCTGAACACGCCGCGGGGCCGTGCCGAGCTGCTGCTGCGGCCCGAGCTGCTGCTGCAGGCTGTCCGCGTGAACGCGCCGGGTAAGATGGACTGGTGGCGGAGGATAGACCGGAGAAATAAGAACGACTGGATGAGTAACTACCGACCAATGCGTACCTACCAGGAGACCCGGGAGGAGTTGGAGCGGTTCTTGGACATCAACCTTCATAGGCTGCTCCATGACCGACTGCCAGAGATGGACGCCGCGTCTGTGGCCGCCACGGCCGGCCTCTGGCGCCGCCGGCTGCAGCAGCTGCTGTCCGGTGACCGGCTGCGTACGGCCTATGACGCCGTCACCGGCTGGTGGCCGGACCGATGGGAGATGACACCGTACTGCCTGGCGGTGGACGAGACTGACTCAGAAGGTAAGAAGAAATAGCACCGACTACTGTTACTCAAAGAGTTCCATTTATATTTCATAATACCGGTGTATTTTGAGACGTGGCGGTAAAACACTAGAATGACTGAATAAAGCTCAGTGATTTGAAGGAAATTGAGATATTAGTTATGAGGCGGAATATTACCACTAAGAGCGTTTTCATATATCCTACATGTTAACTCATTCGCATTAGCATTGCATGGCGTTAGACGTTATGTTTTAACGCTATTAGTGGCAGGCTCCTGGCTACCCCCTATTAGTGGCAGGGGGGGCTGTTTACGACCCCCCCTTGATATCTCGAGATCTAGCGGGCCGATTTTCAAAATTCAAACGGCATTCGATTTTGCTCAACGTGATCTACATTTCTAAAAAATAAAAATTAAAAAATGTCAATAGGGGGGATAGAGGGGCCTAAAAACGGGCAAATTGCAGATACATTTTAGACTGTTTATCACGGCCAGGTTTCTGAACCAATCTTAACGCAACTTTTGCCGATCGATAGAGAATGAACCAGGAATTCACATGGATCCTAAAAATATGCATTTTCAAAAATCATAGGCGGATACAGATCATTGAGATTGGGGGTGCACAAAAAGTATAGTAAATAAGGTTTTTGTTGGTACTGTTTCTAAAAAGGGTGGTAATGGTCTTGTTATGTTACAATTTTCTTATGATAGAACGACTACAATTGTATTGATCATGCATAGGCGGTGTCAGGGCACCTATGTTGGGAGGTAAAACATAACCCCCCTTTTTGGACGCCTGGATCCGCCTATTATAGCAAAAACGTGTCAAAAGAGGATGCACAATAACTGTATATGTTATCACATTATACCTTTCATTCACTGTTCGTAAAACTGGTGCAGCATCGTGATCTTCGCCCAAATGACTCGCTTCACGAATAGGACCCCCCAATTCCCAGTGCTCTGGAGCCGCCCCTGGTAAAGTTATGAACTTGAAATTTTCAGGGAATGTGCCCAATTTAGTTTTAGGAAAAGTCAGAAAATTTCAGCATCGTAGCTTCAGCGGTTTCGGAGATATTCCCGAAAAACCTGAGGGGTGGATAAAAACAACCCCCCTGCCACTAATAGGGTTAACGATCAGGCTTTCTGTTAACTTAATTAGAAAGCTTACGCATAATATATTTTGTTTTCTAATTCAAGAAGGGTTATGCCCTGTGACAGAGCATTATGACCAAACATCTACTAACAGAATCAAATGTTTGCGTTCTGCTTCTGTTTCACCGCGATCCTCCTGAATGACCTCCCACCTGACCCCACGGACTGACCTCCCACCTGACCCCACTGACTGACCTCCCACCTGACCCCACGGACTGACCTCCCACCTGACCCCACTGACTGACCTCCCACATGACCCCACTGACTGACTGACCTCCCACCTGACCCCACTGACTGACCCCGTCCCCATCCACACCTGACCCCGCTGACAGTGACCACTTACACGATAATTATCCTTCTGACCTTCCTATATGCTGCTGTTTACTGATAAATCACATTGGACCAACCAGCTCTTTAATTCCGTCTGACCTACTGTGCTCCAGACTCGGAGCAGGATGACGACGGAGATGCCGGTGGCGAGGAGCGGCGCGGCCCAGACGAGGAGCAGACAGTGGAGGGTCTGCCTCGCCCTCAGCGAGAGAAATGGGAGCAGCTGGAGCGACAGCACCAGCAGCTGTGGCAGCAGCTGGAGCGGTGGGGCTACGAGAAGAAGAAGAGTCTCAACCAGCGGTATGCTGGGGAGTGCCGGAGTCTGGAGCGACGTCATGACAAACAGTGGCGGATCATGGAAATGCGGCACCATGACGAGCTGAAGAGCCTCCAACAACGACACGAGAGTGCTACCAGGTGCGTGGAGCTACAGAACCATGGGCAGGCGCAGCAAGAGAGACGTCAGAGGCATTTGGAGCTTCTGAATCGCAGAAACCGAAGAAAGTCGGAAGAGCTTGAGCGACAGCACCAGATAGAGTGGGGAGACCTGGCGCAGAAGGTCCAGAGGCAGTGGAACAAGCTGAAGCGGAGACACCAAAGCGAGTCACAAGAGCTGGAGGAGAGGTACCCGAACATCTGGACAGGGGAGGAGCTGGATCGGCTGCTGGAGGAGTGCAGCAGGAGGCGTCAGCAGCTGGGGAAGGAGTTGGGGAAGGAACTGAAGAAGGAGCTGGAGAAGGAACTGGAGAAGGAACTGGAGAAGGAACTGGAGTTTAAGGAGGAACCCAGGAAGAGACAGGAGAAGGACCTGGAACTGGAAGAGGAGGAGGAAGAGTCATTGGTGCGAGGTAAGAGTTAACCCTCGCCCGCACATGGGGGGGGGGGGGGTGATTGCCACCCCCCAGGTAGTCTTTCTGCTCTACACTCAACATTTTTAGAGCTAGAGAGCTGATTTTTGGTATAGGTGCTCCTCTATCCGTTTTTGATGTCCACTGAAAATTTCAAGTTTTTGTGATTTTTGGTTTCGGAGATATGACCTTGTTTGTCAGGTCATGTCATGACCCAAATGGCCAATTCTCAACATCTTGCGTTTGTCATGGGCCTTGTGAGCTTTTGACACCTTGATTTCGGCCTTTTTGCCAGTCTTACCTCCCACCTATCATGGAACATGTTGTTCGACGATGTATAGGGGTCAAGGTCAGGGTCAAGGTCAACCTAGGTCATCTAAGATAATTGCGTTTTAGGCAAGCTGAATTTACTTTTTGTGAAGTTTTTTTGCCTGCATTTTTGGTAAAAGCTTCTCAGATCATGATTTCATGTAATATGGACACAAAAACAATCGGTGCACACATCAGTATACACACAGACACACACAGACATACAAACACATATAACTGACCTTGACCTAACTTGACCTGAAATGACCTCAGCAGCAAAAATCTGGTCGGGTAGTGTGACAAAGAGGTTCTAGCTGGCTTGGCACCAGGAAAGGGCATCGTCATCGGTATATGATAAGCAGCGCACTTGATATCCAACGGTGACCCAAAACAGCAACATTTTTTAGTTTGACCTGACCTGGAAGGTCAATGACTGACCTGAGAAGGTAAAATCGGGTATCATTGGATTCGTCTCTTCCCAAAGAATCTTTTTGGTCTTTACCGCTAAGCTCTATCTCCAACAGGAACGAAACGGCGCGGGGGGGGGGTGGCAACCCCCCCCCCCATGTGCGTTCTAGGATGGGAAGATGGGAAAATGGCATGTGCGGCGAGGGTTAAGATTCAGGGGTAAACAAAATTGTGTTGTATTTTTTATAATAGAAGAACGACCGGATAAATCTCGAACACTAACATAAACACTAGCAAAAGGATAAGTTAGTCAAAAAAGGTTGATAAGAACGCTCGTCCAACAACCTGTTCACGTTATAAGCATTAATATTCGACTCATTTCTCGCCCGATTGCGGTAATGTCAATCTTACTATATCTTGTTCGTTAAAAAGATATGTTAACAGTAAAAGTACAACGTAAATGAGGAAATCATAAAGCGCCATCCTATAGTCAAGTTATCATTTAAACGTACATCGATAGGATGTATACCGTGTTACATACCGCGTTCCATGGTAATCTTAACTCCGTAAAACATGTTACTTTTAAACATATCATCAGAATTGATTGACCATTCCGACATGTCCTAGCCAAAGCGGTAGAGATCCTAGCGTAGCTGACAAATTGACGGGAGTTTCAATTACAGGGTCTTTCATAATGAATGTTACTTTTGAACATATAGTTAGGAGCTCTTAATTTATCACTTCCGCGTGAATTTTATATATGTACGTATTGTTGCAAATTGATTAGGGTTTTGTTCCAAAAAAAAAAATCACAACGCCAATTTTCTTTCACGCAAAAGCAGAGTATGTCGACACCACCAAAACGCATTACGGATTACGGTCGAGGGACAAGTCTTCATCCATTGGCTCTCCCCTGGGTCAACACTGAACGAGGTGGCTTACCTCAGGCTGCTCAAGGAATGCTTCTGCCTCAGGTCAGGGACAAGGTTCAAAGAGACGGCCTGTGGTTCCAGCAGGATGGTGCCACAGTGCACACCACGTCAGCTGTTGCGCCAGTGGCTGATCGAAAATTTCGAAGAGCGCGTTATCAGCCGCCTCAACGAGCGACCATGGCCACCACGGAGTCCTGACCTCTCCCCGCTGGACTACTGGTTTTGGGGAGTCGCATTGGCTGATCTGAGACAAAACCCTCCCGCAGCCATCCACTGCGAACCACAGTGGAAGGGTTTACTGGAAGCCTGGACCCAGACGTTGTGAGGCGCGGGGTGCGACACCTTCATCAGAGGGCCGAAACGTGTACCGTAATTAAGGGCGATCAGTGGGAAATTCCTGAGGAGCATTAAAATGAAAGTTGTGTGTGCAAAAACGCTAATGTGTTTCTGTTTCATGTGATGGTACATAATACATGAGGAACATATATGTCCTGAGAAATAGCTCTTTCAAAAGTAACATTCATTATGAAAGACCCTGTATTTCTGCATCTAAAAGCAAAATACGCATCTACACACCAATCTTATACAATCAGGGTCGATGACTCGATGTAAACAGTACATCATGCCCTTCTGATTCCAGACCCCAAGAACCATGAGAGGCAACAGAAGCAGCAACAACATGGCCAACGACAACAGCAGCAGCAACAACAACATCAAGAAGAAGAACAACGTCAGGGGCGGCAGCCGAGCCGGAACGTTGAACACCTCAGGAACCTAATAGAGGTCACCCGAAGACACCGCCAGCAGCGTATCCAGCTCCAGGAGCGGCACAACCAGGAGCTGGAGGAGCAGAGGAGACGTCACCGGCAGGAGAGGAAGGATCTGGAGCGGCGCCTCGGCTGTCGGCGGAACAGCCGGGAGCGGCGCCACAGAAAGTGACCGACGTGAGTTGATTTGGGTGAAAAATATTCCATATTTATCTCACATAATAAGAATAAAATTCACATTGAACGAAATCTTGGAAGAGATGAAAAACACTAGGGATACATTATGCATGTTCCTCAGGCCTCCTGAGGCAAATATTTGCCATGTCCAATCCTACTCTGTTTGTGTTTCAGGATATCAGCAGAGTCGCGGACCACCCCGAGGAGGCGCCACATACGGAGAACAAGTCGAGGGTCAGAAATTTGTGGTGCCAGAGAAGTTCAAAATGTGTCGACTGTGTAGATATTGGAAATAGAAAAAAAAACATTGACCAATACTGTATATCACCGTTCCATTGAAGAAAGGAGTTGGTATCATTATGTGCAATATGGCAATGTTCACGATGTTCATGACGATTGACGTGTAAATAATTGTACCAGTATGTTCAATAAGTAAGTACCGTTTCGATATAACTCGTTTATTTTTTGGCACATCTCAACCAAACATGGCTCACGGCTCGACGAACTCGCCCTGCAGGCGAACGCATCGTTCCCATCGCTTGGCCAGGTCCCGGATGGCCGCACGGAAGCTTTGAGTGAGGGCCTTTTCGCCATACTGGTAAAAAGCAGATCCGAGTGCAGACCGCGAGCCGAACCTCCGGCCCCGGATATTTTTATTCATGTCTGCGAACAGCCAATAGTCACTGCGTGCCGTCGGGAGAGTAGGGATGGTGTTAGAGCACCTCGATGCCCTCACTGCCTGCAGGGCATCCCTCGGCCACGAGGGCACGGTGAGGAGGCGCGCAATCCTGGTGGAGGATGAACCGACCACGGGCCTTCTCGGGGGGGGGGGGGGGGGGGGCAACTGGCGATTACTGGCAGGAGATGGTCTCTAATGATCCTCGCGTAGGCTTATGTTTAGGCTTTCTGTTATCGCCTGGACAGTAATCTTTTTGTTGGCCATCACCATCTCCTCCACTTTGGCGACGTCAGTGGCTGTGACCATCGTCCTCAGCCTGCCTGCACGTGCCAGGTCGCGCACGCTCTCCCTCCCCTCCCCAAACATTTTCTTCCGCTTCAGAACTGCGGAATCACTAAGAGCATGGCTCCCGTACACATTCACGAAGTTGGCGTGGATGTTAGCCGCCGGCTAGCCCTGGATAGCTAGGAATCGTATCACTGAACGTTGATCCTCTCGGGTGGCCGATGCCATTTCTAAAGCAGTCTAAAAAAATGGTGTTATTTGATCCGCTCCATATCGTCACAGAATTGGAATAAGAAGCTGAAAATGCGGTCACTTCGACATGAAGGTCCGAATTCTAATCCCTGAAAAAATCACGTGCGTAGACCGCGTGAATTTTATGTAATTGCACTCCGGAACTTACTTATTGAACGCATTGGAAGTGTTACAGGGTGACGTATGTTGTCATACAAGTACAAATTGTTGTTCGATGATGCCATTTATTGAAATGAGCTCAGTGAACACTCACTGTTGTTTATGATACTCACTGATGTCAGTGAACACTCACTTTTTATGATACATGTCTTGTGTAATGTGCAATCTTGTAAAAACTATGTAGACATTAGGAGGTGTATCGATCGGTACATACATACCAATCTGTACCGAATCAGTACATGATAACCGTTGGATGTGGTGGCCACTGGATGTAGTGTTAATATAATATTAGCCAGGCACGACCCAGCTAACTGCGAAGTCAGACCGGGCCGCGTATTCGCCAATTGTATTACACGAATCGGCCGACCAATAGCGTGCCTCCTGAGTGACGTCAGCGTGGCGTCATACTTTCGGTCCTCGCCCTTGGTGGCGTCTATTGAAGCTAGGTTTTAAATTAATTACATTTAAGCTGCTTAAAATATGATGTCGCCGTGGCGAAGTGGTTAGAGTATCTGACTGGTGATTTAGAGGTAGGTGGTTCGAATCCACTCGGCGACTTCGATTTTCGTGTCATCCAAGGCGTGTCATCTGTCATTGTGCGTTTTTTATACATTTGCAACGGCGTGCACCCAAGGAATCAGACGTAGGCATTCTTCTAATGAATATGTTGCATAAGATAGATATTTGCAGTCCAACCGATTGGTTCGGTTTCGGTATTTTCCTATGGTCTTTGTTTGTATTTGGTTTGGTAGCGGTGTTCTGATTTTCTGTGATTAACATCACTAATGCATAGTGCATACTATGCGAACGTAGCCAATGGAAAGACAAATGGTGCTGGGCGATGGCCATTCATTCTCATTGATCAATATTTCTCACTGCCAATGGGTGATAGCACGCAGCATTGACAGGGGCGGCGCTGACCTTTTGAAAGTAGGTGGGCACTTGGCAAGGTAAAGTACCTAAAAGAAGCGAAAACTAAGATGAAAAGTAAAAATCGCACGCTGGTAAGCAGGCTATTAGATAGCTTTTCGTGTAAGAATCACCATGCACAAAAAAAGTTCGGCATAGCTGTTAGCGTAATCACGGGACGAGATCATCAGTTTCCAGCCGTCAGAGCGTCATCTATAGGAGCTATGCCCTAACTATAACTTTTACATTTCAGCCGCCAGGGGGATACCTAGTCCCCTTGGAATCTAGTTAAAGTCAAAAATATTTATATTAGACGTTTATGAAGATAACTTGGGACTGGTTGTTAAGTTGCATGCTCACGGCGGGCTGTCATCAATTTATCTCTATACATGTCTTATCTGATCGATGAAATAATACAGGAATCCGTTGTCATTCGAGTGTGTTTCATAATAGCTCTTCCGACTTTGACGAATATCGACAGTGCCGTAACAAAATTGGTAGTTCAGGTATAGACTGCAACTGCAGTTCTTTTGCAACTCATTCCTTAATCAGATGAATACTTGTCAGAGATTTATTGGGCGTACGATATTGGCGTGCGAACGTAGGGGCCAAAAATGCGCGTCTACGACCGACTTCTTTTTAAGAGAAAAGAACCGCTAAAGCAAGGATCGATCCATCAACCTTTCGTTCACCACACCAAGACTCTAACCACTCGGCTACGGCGACACATACATATTTGATAGCCATATACAATTGCAAAAAAAGTCTCAACTCAAATCTAGCCTCAATGCATGCATTGTCGCGGCGGATGGCTATGACGTCGCACTAGAGATGTCGCTAGTTGATGGGCCGATTCGTGTAATACAATTGGCGAATACGCGACCGGGCCGGCCGGGCTCCACTGATAGCGCTGGTCTGCAAGCTGCCACGTCAACCAAAGGAAGGGTGACGACAACTGCGGCCGACTGGCCAGGAAGGACGTCAGATAGGCGGGCTGGCACCGCCGTCTCCCCTAGCTGCAGGCAGGATGGTGCGGTTGGCATGGCGTCGGTTAGGGGAGGGGGTCTGGGGATGGGGCAGCAATCTGGAAAATACAGTCCAAGATGGAGCTGACGCGACTTCCCCGGGTCGGGTCACAAGGGAGTGGTGCAGACGAACAGGTCCTAGTTAGGTCATGAAGATTTGGCAACTTACAGCAGCCCCGGTTCAGTGATCTGGAAGCGGCATCCCGCACGTGCGAGCCTGAAAACTGGGTTTGAACTGACTTTTGCACGGCACACTACAAACAGCTCTCTAACTGTGTATCAAATTCGAAATTCTAGTGCAATCGGTTCAGCGGTTCTTGAAATCTGGAAGCCTCCTCTGCACGTGCAGCGGCACCCCAACCGTGACACACGGGAATGCATTGCCTGGTGAGCGCCTGTACCTACACGCCAATTTTAGTACAATCAGCACAGTAAATACCGAGATATTGCAATTGCTTAAAAACTGACCCCTCTTCGTTTCGCACGTGGCACGTGCATAAGGGGTCAACAACATACATCCGATTATTCCCTGGTAGAAGAAATAAAGCTAACGTGCAAAAATTATGGCAAGTTACCGGTTTAGTCAGTGGTTGCGGAGATACCTATTCGTGTAACCTAGGTAAAAGCGGCCTGTTGCTAATACTATGAAATTTCTGTTATTTTCCATAAGAGTTTGCTCGATTCGCTCGCTCGTTACAAGGTATTTATTTACTTACTGAGCTTTTATTATCTATGAATATATTCAAGTTAATTTTCATAAATCGTGATTCCTTTTGTTTTAAAAAATAGTACGCTCTTCCACCTCATAAGCATCTACCATCAAACATAGGATCGTCGTCAATCTTTAATAAAGACACTTCCCCTCCGACTTTCTCACGACTTTACTGCCGTGCCAGTCAGCACGGCTCAAAACGGCGCCGTCCCCCGTTAGAAATCCATTAGCGACCTCAGTAGCCCGAAAAAAGCTCCGAGAGAAAAACAAATGGACCGGCGACCACAGGAAATCAGAGGAGGTCGCAGAATCAAAGCGCGAGGACACCACGTCTGCCGCCGGTGTTACATCTCTGTCCGGCGGTCTCTCTGAAGAGCTGCATTGTCCCATCTGTGTGGAGATGTTCCACAGGCCCATTGGTCTCGGGTGTGGCCACAGTGGGATCAGCCCGGGTGACCTACGCCCGAATCGCCTATTCCATCGAATGTCTACGCCCGGGTGACCTACGCCCGGCTGACCTACGCCCGAATCGCCTACTCCATCGAATGTCTACGCCCGGCTGACCTACGCCCGGCTGACCTACGCCCGAATAGCCTACTCCATCGAATGTCTACGCCCGGCTGACCTACGCCCGGCTAACCTACGCCCGAATCGCCTACTCCATCGAATGTCTACGCCCGGGTGACCTACGCCCGGCTGACCTACGCCCGAATCGCCTACTCCATCGAATGTCTACGCCCGGCTGACCTACGTCCGGCTGACCTACGCCCGAATCGCCTACTCCATCGAATGTCTACGCCCGGCTGACCTACGCCCGAATCGCCTACTCCATCGAATGTCTACGCCCGGCTGACCTACGCCCGGCTGACCTACGCCCGAATCGCCTACTCCATCGAATGTCTACGCCCGGGTGACCTACGCCCGGCTGACCTACGCCCGAATCGCCTACTCCATCGAATGTCTACGCCCGGCTGACCTACGCCCGGCTGACCTACGCCCGAATCGCCTATTCCATCGAATGTCTACTACCGTACGGCCTGCCCGTGTTCGTGGAGCAGTCCCTGCTGTATTATCGAGTAAGGATTTACCCATTCACTACGCCGGCTGACTGGCGGCCCCATCCTTTGTTTGCTCTATTGTCGTCCGTCGCCCGCCGCGGCGGTGCCCAGGCCCGGGGGTCGCCTGGCGCAGTGGGGGGTAGCGTCCCGCCCCGCGGCCCCTGGCGCGGCGACAGGTAACATGCCGCGGCGCACGGCTCGGCGGGCCGCCGCCGCCGCCGCCGAGGGAGTTGACGCTGACAAGGATGAGGGCCGTGGGCCCGTGGCATCACCTGGGTTTGTATGGATTTTTGTCCATTTGGCCGGCTGGCTTAAGTCACCGATTACATTAAAGGGACAAGTGAAAATGAGCCCCTGCACGAATTAGTATCTTTGCTAACGGCTAACTTCAATTGCAGGAGGGTGAGGAGGGGTCGAAAGAACCACCCAGTGATTCATCCCTTGATTGAGCTATAGGGAAAGCGGGTTTGGCGAGTGGAAGCCGATGGAATCAATTTTAATTGTCCTAAGAACAACTTGAACAGACTTGACTTTTCGAACAACTTAACAAGTGTCATTGCCGTAGAGTGCATCAAGTTTCAAGTTGAACATATATTTTTTTTTTTGAAAAATGTAAAGTAAAGCCCTGCTTCTCCGTCAAGTGACGGTGTATTCAAATAACCCGACCGTTGGGTAACTTGAACCAGTGGCGGCGCCACGAATTTTCGCCAGTGGGGGCAAGCTTCAGGTGACCCGACTGTTGTCTGATAACCCGATCTGCAAAATCCATGAGCTCCTCGCCCCTAGATGTTGCCAATTAGAAATTATCATGGTTTCAGGTTTCATGCATGCGTATTGAGCTTAAGCATTAACCCTCCCGGGCCGGAACGGGGGGGGGGGGCGTTTTTCGCCTCCCCTGGCGAATATTTGTGATACCATATGAACGCTTAGGAGTAGACAGTAATCAGTAATCAGTACCTACTACCTAGTTCTCTTTTTTACCGTAGTGCGAATATATGCGTTTCTCTCACACACTATTGATACCAGAATAAGCTCTTTTAGGGCGATCCATACACATTTCCAGATAACCCGGATATACATACCTACCTATCACATTTTGTCATACCTCCCTGAGCTCAGTCTCAGTCTAAGGGTTCCCAAAAGAGGGTGAACTCTTCTCTGGCCGATTTTGACAAGCTGCCTCTCAACCTCCTCGAGGTCAAGCTCGAGGGCAGCCTTCTGGTGAATGAAAATGAGTAGGAAAATGAGTGGGAGTAGGAGATATGCGACAGACGGTCTGAGAACGAACGTTCTGCTGATGCACTTGATACGGGAATCGTCAAAAACAGGCGTACTATTATAACCGCCTATCATGAATATTGCACCGGTCTTCTGTTCCCGTTTCAAAATCAGCCAAATTTTGTGGGAGCAAAAACATAGTCTTGCCCCCACGGCCTCCTGCCAGTGGGGGCAGTCTGCCCCCACTGCCCCCACGGTGGCGCCGCCCTTGACTTGAACAGTCTTTCTTCGAGTTATTAAAATGGGAACAAATTTGACACCTCTTATTGTTGTATTTTGCACGTGCACTGGGGGTGACGCACATGCCTCGAGAGTATCCTATTTTTGGTAGAAGGGATGCTGCTACTCTACAAAAATTACCGCAAGTCAATCGCCCAAGTGGCTGCTGAGATATGAGCCTCTCAAAATCACTTTTTTTTTGCAAAACAGCTTGAACACCCTTGACTTTTCACGTGGCACGTGCCACGACGGTCACTGAGATGTATCAAAAGTAGTCAATTACGGGGTAGAAGGGATGGGGCTACCCAGCAAAAAAGACAGCAGGCCAATCGGTCCAGCGGTTGCTGAGATATAAGCCTCTCAAAAGCGTTACAGGCCGGGCCGGGCCGGGCCGGGCCGGGCCGGGCCGCTCATACTGAGATTTTTCCGTTATATTGACCAGTAAAACGCCTTTTGGGCGAAGAACGAGCGAGCGAGATAGTGAGCCCTGCACGTGCGGAAGGGCGATAGGGTGCTTCCAACGGGCTTGCGCAAAGCACCCTTCTAACTGGTCGCTAGCGGTGTGCCAAATTTGAACGCAATCGGCCCAGCCGTTCCTGAGATCTGGAAACGGCATTCTGCACGTGCGCACGTGCAAACGGGGTCCAAAATCACTTTTGCACGGCACCCTACTAACTGGTCCCCAACCGTGTGCCAAATTTGAGCGCAACCGGCCCAGCCGTTCTCGAGATCTGGAAACGCCCCCTGCACGTGCGCACGTGCAGTAGCACCCTAACCGCAACACATGGGAATGCATTGCCTGGTGGGTGCCTACCTGTATGCCAAGTTTCAGCGAAATCGCCCCAGTAATTACCGAGTTACTGAAATGGGAACAAATTTGGCACCTCTTATTGTTGTATTTTGCACGTGCACTGGGGGTGACCCACATGCATCGAGAGTATCCTATTTTGGGTAGAAGGGATGCTGCTACCCTACAAAAGTTACCGCAAGTCAATCGTCCAACCGGCTGCTGAGATATGAGTATCACTACTTTTGCAAAACAGCTTGAACACCCTTGACTTTTCACGTGGCACGTGCCACGACGGTCACCGAGATGTATCAAAAGTAGTCAATTACGGGGTAGAAGGGATGGGGCTACCC